AAGCTGGGGAGATTGGATTTATTCTTTTATCCCTCCAGAAGCCAGTTTCTCCTGTGTGAAGAAAATAAATGTCAAACTTGTGAGGACTGCTTTTAGCAACAAGAAATACCAGGTATGAAACCAGAAACAGATTTCTTAGGGTCTCAAGCCCTACTTGCCCTCACAGACATCTTCAGATCTCCAAACCCCTTCTGTATTTTTACCAGACGTCTTGTGAGGAAAAAAGGAAACTCCATGTTTCTTCCCAGTGGGAAGATACTCAAGAATCCTGTTGCTGTGATGGTTAAAAAGCCCTTCATTTACTTTCCAGACAGAATTTATTCATAGCCAATTAATACCCTTCCGTTCTTGTGCCAAAATATTCTTCCATCTTTAATAAGTACTCTGTCTAGCTCTGTGAGAGCTCTGCACTTGATTGCTTCAGGATTTAGGAGTTCCCTCTTCCACAAGCCATAGGAAGAACAGTTCATAACAGAATGTGCTGCAGTTCCCCATGCAAATTTTGCAGGACCCCATCCAGGTCCATGCAAGAATCCAAGCACTAATCTCAAAACTATTTCCACTTCCAGCTCTACCAGCTGTAAAGCTTTTCTCATAATTTAAAAACAAAGGGCAGGCAATGAGTTACACCTCAACATTTGCTTGAAAACTGTTTCCCAAAAAGGAGAAAGTGTCATTCCAAAAACCCACCAGGCACCCAGAAGTTTTTCCTTTGCAGAGACCAGAATCAAGATCCTGCACATTTCTTTGAACAAGAATTTTTGGACTCAGACTTTGTTTCTTTTTAGGTACAGGTATCCTTTTGCACATGCACCCCTTATATCTACAAAACCAAGTGATCAAAACATCAGAACTAAGGTTAAACATAAACCCTTACTCATCTGCATTATGAGTCATTCTTTAAATAGAGGATTATGCCTTGTTTTCCACCAGATTCTACCTCAGGATGGACAGTGTTCACTTAATAAGCAGATATTCAATATTTTGTTACAGTGCCATTATTCAGTGTGTGGCTTGGGGCCTCATTTACCACATACTACTCCAAACCTGCCTGGAAGACACAATTGCTGATTTTCTTGTGAGTTTTTCTAGGGCTCTTATCAGTATGGCATATGAGTGTTTCACAGCCCTCGTTTCTCCTAACAACACCCTGTAAGACGAGAGGATATTATTATTCTTGTTTAACAGATGGCAAACTGAAACACAAAGAGATTCAGGTCAAAACATTCTGCTAGAGTTGAGTCCCCAAACTGAGATGTCTGGGAATTGATTTCTCAGAATGTTTAACATTGTACAGCATCATATGTCAGGAGAAAGCACTGGCAGTCTACTCTGCAAATGGAAACATGGAAAGCGAAATAAAATTAATAGCCAGTTGGGAAGAATTTAGTGCAAATCAACTTCTCTGAGACTGGAAGTAAGTTTTGCAGGATTCAGATGCTTGAACCACGAGATTTCACATTTTCTTTTCAGCTCTCTGCCTTTTACTGTGCTCTCCCAGCAAAACCAGGCAAAGTTCACCAGGCATCTGCCTCCTCCTGCTCTGACTCATGTCCTGAGCTGCTCCACCTTCTGAACTGAATGAGACCAGGGTCCTTTGCTAAATATAGCACATGGTCAAGTAATTAAAGACTAGACCAAGCACAGGTACAAAGGGAAGCCAAATAAACACTTTGCAGGAAACCCTAATTTCATGATTTCCCGATACCCATTTCTAAATAATAAGCTTTTCAAGGAGAACAGTCTCCCTTACACATATGTGTATATATATGAAATATAAATTTTATATACAAATGTAATTTTAAACTAAAATAGAAATTTATTTTACATATGATAAATACATAAAATAGGATAGAAATGTTATTATATATGTATAATAATATAAACTTATGTATACTTATACTCTTGCTCCTGATTCATAATCAGTCAAAATTTTCCAAAGACTGGAAAAGCTACCTGGTATGGTATATTACACCCAAATGAATAAAGTTTTCAGTTTAAAATTAAAGGCAAAAAAAATCTGTTCAATAGGTTTCAGTTCAGCCTTCTGACTGTGTCTTTCTGTTTCAGGAAATCAGGATACATGTGCCTGGGTAAATCAGAACCACTTGCATTTTATAACATTCCCTGTTGAAGCAGTATGCAGAAGCAGAACTCCAAATTTCCAGTATTCAGGAAATTCAGTTATTTCATAATTTCATTTCATTTTGAATCATGGGAATACCTATGCCTCCCTTTTCTCAAACTTCCAAATTCCCTTAAAATTTTATTTGTGTTGGGTTTAAATTGTTTTAAATAAATCAACCAGAGCTGATACCAGCACTGGAAATTTTAATGTGAATGTTTGGAGCTTGACAGAGTTACAAGGAAATAAAGAAGCCTGGAAAGTTTCAAGCAATTCTTGTTACAAGCACAACACCAGCTATTTCTAAAATACCACTGCAGTAGCATTTACATTTTGGTAATAAAAAACTTATTAAATGTGCTATGTGTTATTTTCAATACAGTGATAGTCAGGAATATATCCTCATTTTCCAGGTACTTTTAGAACTTAGAACAGAGTGAGGAGTGGAGCTCTGTTCTTTCCTCACATATAGGTCTGTCTCTTTTCATAGACTCATGAAAAAAAGAATTGAATCTGAAGTTTTTTAACCTAAAGGATCAGCCAATTTACCAACTTGTGTAAGGTGGAGCAGCAGGTCTGAGCTGCCATCCAGCAATGGACTGAGGGCAGAGCCAGCCCACCTCAGCTCCCAGCACAGAACACACACTGGTGGCCCTTAAATGTCAAGGGGACATTTAAGAGATGAACCCGGGGCATGGGCTAATTAAATGCCATAGAAAGTTAGCCTGGCAGTTTCACTGATTAATATTTTGCTCGTTGTTTTCTTATCAAGGGGATAAGAGCGGCAATTTGACTCAGCCACCTTTGAAGGATGCGCTAGGCCTTGTGTGAACCTGGGCTTCTCCCAGTTCCCAAAGGGGAAGTCATGAGAACTGTTTAATCAAAAAAAAAAAAAAACAAAAAAAACCAAAAAAACAACAACAACAACAAAAGAAACAACCCAAAAGAAACCAAAAACTCTATGTCAGGACATTCTATTTTGAAGGGAGGAGAGCAGCCAGAGCTCAGCCCTCAGCTGAGCAGGGCCCTTTCCGTAATGCTGGGGCAGCGCAAACCGCTCAGCGCGGCCGCTGCCAGCAGCCAGCCAGCGAGGAATTCCCCTGTCATGAGGGCCATGACTCACACGTGCCCCTGCTGCTCCTCTCCCTCAGATCCTGGGCCATGCTTGTGGTCTGGGATGTGTCAGGAGAAAGGAGCTGGCAGGGCTCTCCTCTCTTACACAACCCCGCTGTCCCTGCCCAGAGGCACGCTCCACCCAGGCCAGGGAGCTGCTGCAGGTGGCATGGGCTACAAAACCCTTCTGCAGCTGACATTTCCTTTCTCTCTTCCTTTTCCTTAACCCTTCTGCTCCTCTGGAGCAACCAGGCAGCTCCTGAGCAATCACAATGCTGTTGTAAAAGTCATCCCGTAAAAAAGGGGATTTTAGCATCGGTTTTAGCGGTGTAAAAGAGGCTCCACACAGAGCAGAGCTGACACAGGTATGGAGATCCCTCATCAGTTTTGCTCAATAAATTCACAGCAGAGCTGCTGCCACTGCAGCGTGAGCAGTTTGCAACATTTGTATTTGTCCTCTGGCTATTTATTACCGTGTTTTTCACAAGGCCTTTTAATGCCTTCAGGAGTAATTTATGGGGACAGAATAGCACGAAAAGAGCAGATCCCACTTATTTAAATCTCTAGATGATGAAAATCACATGAGAAGAGCAGGTTTCACATTGTTTCCTCTCCATAAATGGCTTTCTGAGGCAGTAAAAGCCATGTAAAAGCAAACATAAACACAGTGCAAACACCAAGATATTCAGGTTTGTTTGGACTTATCCAAACACTGCCCAGAGATTTTCAGGTTTTTTCAGATTTGGGTTCTGTTTTGTTAACTCATTCTATAAAACATTGCAGGCTGTAGTTAGTCTTAATATAACCAACTATATATATGCACTAAAATTCTCTTAACTAATTTTACTGCACAAAAGGAGTACTTTAATAAAAACAATTCTTACTACAAATCTTGTTACTTTTCAGATTGATGAGTAATGTGTGTGACTGCAGTGTTTCTTTTTTCCTTTTTTTTTTCTTTATTTGGCAGTTCTCACAACTTGTGCTCCAGCACATGAAGCAGACTGATCTGGACACCCAGGATGATCCAAGTTTCCAGCAACTGACATGCTGGTTATTAAATTTATAAAATAAGCAAATTAGTGAAGCATGACTAACAAACTTTTTTGATCCAGTGAATGCTCATTTGTGCAGTGACATTAGGAATCAGAACCTTTTAGTACTGAGAATAACAGCAGGGATGTGGAGAGGCCACCACATTGCCTTGCTAGGCCTGGGGGTATAATTTTGGTGGTATCTTCCACACACAAAAGTTTGAATGACATGAAGTTCTTAAAATAAGTAGCATTTCCCTGTAAAAGGTAAATTAAAGAGGTTTCTTTGCCCTGTCTTTTTTCATTAATTAACATTCTGATTCCCTAAATTCCAGCTAAAGTCATAGAATCACAGAATGGTTTGGAGTGGAAGGGACCTTAAAGAACATCTAATTTCAACCCCCTGCCACAGGCAGGGACACTTTTCAGTGTTCCAGGTTGCTCCAAGCCCCTTCCAATCTGCCTTGGATAATTCCAGAATCCAGGGGCAGCCACAGCTGCTCTGGGCACCCTGTGCCAGGAGCTCATCACCCTCACAGTGAATAATTTTTTTTTCTAATATCCAATCTAAACTTTCTCTCTTTCAGTGTGAAGCCATCCCCTCTTGCCATAGGATACAATGTTTTCCACTTCAGCTCTAATATATTTCATGTTTTGCCTCATGAGACCAAATTTATTACAGTGAGGGATGTAATTTAATAGTATATTCCAAACAACCACAAGTGTACCTGCTTGGCTGCTCATTTTTCACAAAGTCTTTCCAGGAAGCATTTAAGAGTCAGAAGACTGCCCCAAAATTTGTTTGAGTAATCCAGGTTTCATGATTCTGCAAGAGAGAACAGAAAGTTAACTTGAGATATTCCTTCTGCTGCTTGCCAAAATGCCACAAAGGCAGGCAGATCCTTTACCTGGTTTCCTACAGGTTCATGGAGAAAAATCTCAATGTAGACCTTAATCCAGCAAAAAATCCTGCGCTCATTCTCACCTTCCTTCACTGTTACCTCTGTAAAATCAGAGGAAATAATCCACAGTGCACAAAGCAGCCATCATGTTCAAGTCTTTGCAAAATCTCAGCCCCTCCAGACCTGAGCTGTGCAAAGCCTCAGGATTATTCATAATTTCACCAGCCTGATTCAGCAGGAAGTATGTGGAACCATTTTGAGTCACATTTAAAGCTGTTTATGGGTATGGGGAAAAGTTGTGTCCCTTGATCAAAATGCAGCTTTCTCTCAGCTTCATTCCTGGGTTAGAGGAGAATTAAACAGTTCTGGAACTTGCTGGGAAGAGGGGGAGCAGGGGGATAGAGAAGGACAATTTATCTCTAAATTACATTGCTCTTCAGAGTAAACCACAGAGAGCTGTAATGGGACAAGTAATTTTTTTATATAGTATAATTAATTAGAACCCATAAACCCCAATTAAACAGCACTTTTGAGACTATCAAGTGCTGCATGTTTGAAACTGCAAATATGACAGTATAAGTACATTTTTATAGCTGGGCACACTCCTCAGGATTATTTTCAGTGCTCTACTAAAATGGGAAATGGCACCAGTTAGGCCCCTGCTAATAAATCGCTTGGAAACAGGCGATATTAATAATCTTTATGGGGGTAGGATGGAAGCCAGATGGGGCAGGGAGGGGAGTGTGAAAGTGGCATAATATATTGGCCTGGAAAACACAACCCAGGCCAAAGCAGAAATGTAATCTTGGTGTGTATCAGCAAGGGCTGGGAATAGAAAAGGAGAGGTGATGGCTGAAAGGGGAGATCAGGAGGATGATTTCTGAGGTAAGGAAGGGGACACCCTACAAGGTGAACACAGGTGTGGGGATACCAGTTGTGGATTTCCCTGGGTCTGTACTGAAGGCACTTCAGATGGTAGCTCATGTTGGTGCTCAGGTGTTTATTATTTCTTATCAGTAAAACAGTGTCATTACTGTGAGTTCAGTAGATTTTCATTAGAAGGCACAAAAAGGCACACAATCTCTTGTTACAAGGTCTTTTAAGGCTAAACTGTCCAACTAAGAACTGACACCTGGATTATTTTCCTTTTAATCCAGTAACTGATCCCAAAGAACCCCCAGTGCAGACTTTTCTGCCCAATTACAAAATGCCACCCAAACCCATGTAGAAGGAGGAAGAAGAAACCCAGGATGACACCCTGTGCCCTCCATCTTGCTTCCATCCACAACACACTAAAAATCCCCAAACCCCACATTTCTCACCAAGGGATACACCTACACTGCTCTCTATAATCTATTGCACACTTTTGTGGATTCCAGTCTATCTTGAACTCTGGGAAACTTTCTCCATGAATGAGGGCCAAAGTCAGTGCTGCCCTGGGGGTCAGAGCACCCCAGAGCAGACACAGAAATATCCCAGTGCCCTGGGTTTCCACACACCTGCATGGGCAAGGAAGCAGAGGAAAGAGCTGCTCCAGGGGTATTTAGCAGCCCCAGCAAGGAGAGGGCTTTGTCCCTTGGCTGGGAAATGGGAACAGCACTGGGAGCTCCACTGGCGTCCTGCCCTGGAGGAGCTGTGCGTGCAAGCGATGGGACGTGTGTGCAGGGGCTCTGTGCACAACCAGTGTGAGGAAAAGCTCCCTCAGCCCTTGTTTATTTACACAAGGCCCCAGTTGTGTTTCTTTTGGCAGGGGGAGCGCTGTGCTAACTCCCCTGTGCTCACTCCCCTGCTGCCCTGGCTCACACCTGACACCCATTAGCGCCCGGGCCCGTTTTGTTCTCACATTTCGGGCACTGACCCTCAGCCACAGCTCCAGCAGACACTCCATCACCTCCCTGTCAGGTAAGGCTCCAGCAGACACTCCATCACCTCCCTGTCAGCACTCCAGCCCAGCAGCCCCTGCCCTGCCAGCCAGCACCGAGGAATGAGGGCTGGGAGAAGCCTCCACCTCCAGAGAAACTTCACGCAGACACTCCACAGAGGCCTTCTTGCTCCTTAAATGATGACTTTGTTTGGGTTTGGAATATTTTATCCTTTAGAAAATAGCAATGCAGGGCGATAAGTGAACAACTGGTGACAGTTGAGCCTTGGTGACATGACCAGACCTTAAATTCTAGCACTCCAGTTGCACAGTGCTCCTCGTGCAAGCTGCTCCCACAAAGAGGCATCTTTATCTTAGCAGTCACTCAGAAAATTCTTCCAATCACCATCAACATAAGAAGAAAATTTAATCTCAAAATGCAGAAAAATATACTTTTAGATGAAAGAGAAATGGAGGGAACAGCTTGTCTGGATAGAAAGCATTGTGGGGCAAAGACTCACAACATCCCAGGGAAGATTTGAGGAGGACTTAAGAGCATCAAGGAGAGAAGAGCTTTCTGCAGAAATGCTTTGCACTACATGTTATGATCTGAGGAGGTCTGCAGAGTGCTGTCACGTGTTTTATATACATGGGGAGGCTACTCAGCTCTTAGTTAGTAAGAATCCATTTACTAAATTAGAGAATCTTATAAATATTTGCGTTTCTTAAGCCTTGTGCCAATTTATGTGCACTGAGACCCTTAAGCTTTCTCACCAACATAAATTATTCTAGGATCTGACTTTTTAGCAGCTTTAAATACTCTATTTTAGTTTGATGGAGACATATCTTTCCTTTCTATTTACTTTGTGCACAATTTTCTCAATTTAATATCAATAGGGACTGAGACTCTAACAAGTCAGCAGTCAGTCTTAGGCTGCAGACAAGTTTTGGACTAAGTCCTTATGAAGTTAAAAGGAAGGAATGGGAAACTTAAATCACTGGAGAGGTCCAGAATTCCATGAGAGAAAAGCATTATAATTCTTTTCTATGCCAGTCTCAAGGCAATGGGTGTTTCAGTGATCCCTTAAAAAAATTATTAAAAAAAAAAGCAAAAATTCCAAACAAAGACTCATTTTGGATTTCTGTTAGAGGCTTTTTTCCAAAGCTCTCTGGAGCCAGCATTGTTGAATGTGTGGTAATTTAGCACAAGACCTTACAGTCAGATCTACAGTTGTAGATCTAATAAAATACTTACATTGTGTTTTCAGACATTGCAAAAGCAGTATTTTACTGAATTTTTTTAAGTAGATGCTGATATTGACATTTTTTCCTAAGTCTGTATAGCTCACATGTAGCTTCTCTACAGGCCTTGTACTTAAGGTCTCACTTTGTTCCTTAAACTCTTGGGATTTTTGGAGGATGATTTCCCACTTGAAAGTTGAGGCACTTGTAGACAGGATATAAAGGGACAGAAATGAAAATGGACCTGAGCATGTAAAAGCTGGGATGATTTAATGTAAAATACTTGAGGTTCTTGCTCAAATAGCTGAAAATATAGGTTTTACTCCAAATATAGGTTTTACTTTTCTTAATCCAGTAAATTAAGATGTGTTTGGCATTGTACAAGGCATAGTGAGATGCAGAGCCCTCTCCTCAATTTAAGCAACAGACATGGCAAGAATAATCTGTCTGGACACTGCAGAACTGGACATTCAGTAGAGATTCATAAAGGCATAAACAGGGTCATCATATAGTGAGGGAAGGACAGAAAAAAATGCTTTAATCTTAAATCCTGGTTTAGATGTTTCAAGAAAAAAAAAAAAAGCACATTTTAAGGAAATTGGAAAGCTCTGACTGCAGCAGACTCATGGTCTAGTTAGTTAGGGGGTAGAAGCACAAAGAATATCAGCAACCATCAACAGGATGGCAAATGCCATTTGAATAGACATGTGTCATTCCTGTACCACAGCCAAGTGAAACTACAAACACTATTAAAAGTATAAAGAGGCTTTAATTTACATTCCTGCTAAGGCGTCTTTCTGTTGCCAGAATATTGCTAGTGGGCTTAGTATAAATGAGAATCTGGCCTTAATATTCTCAAACAGAAAAGTGAAATACACAGACATATTGACTTGGATTCATGTGCTCTGTTCTGTTAACCCAAGGTATCTGCATGGAGCAAAACTGGCAGGAAGAATATGAATCTGTACCTACAGTGCATAGCAGCTTCAGTGAGCACAGATGATCTACAAAATCACTTCCTATGCCAGCTAAATCAGCCCTGTAGAATAATAAAGGTTGGAAAAGACCTCCAAGATCGTGGAGTGCAACCATTAACCAAGCACTGTCAGGTCCACCACTAAATCATGTCCTGGAGCATGCATCTAAACACTTCCTGAACATTTTAATATTGTGTTTTTCCTGTATTTTTAGCATCACACTCCTCAACACCACAAAATTCAAAACACTGTTTACTTCATTTTCCCCCTGCTAAATCTTGGTGCTAAAGTCAGAACTCCAACAACCACCTAAACACAAGCCACCCAGGAAGATCTAATACTTTTTAACTTTAGACTTTTAAGACTAAAGACAAAAAGCCTGGTATACCAGCAGTGCCTGGGGAGGAAGTTATGTCCTTTGCTGGAGAGAGGCACAGCAATAAAACAAACAGCAGCAATTCCTGCCAATGTGACCAGGGGCAATACAAACCAGCCAGGAGCTGCAGGAGCCTCCTTCCATCACCAGCAGCATCTCTGCACCCTGCCCATTAGCCCAGTGTCAGCTGTGGCCCATTCCAGATGCTCCAGAGGAGGAGGGAAGAACAAACAAACCCAGAGGGCAAGTTAGGCATGAAAAGGGGGAGGAAAAAACAAAACAAAACACCATCTCATGCCTGTGAGGAAGCCCTCGAGCAAAGGCATGACATGTGCTTCAGACTCTAAAAAGAGCTTTCCACCAAAAAGAAAAAAAATCATCATATGAAAAACAAAGGTAACTCCAGACACATGCAAGCAAAATGGCAGGGGGCTGGAATTGGATGAACTTTAAAGTCCATTCCAACCAAAGGCTTTCTATGATTCTATGAAAATAGGCAAAATTCTGAGGTGTTTGAAATCAACGACAAGTCCCTCAAAATTTATTTGTGCTAGATTTTGAGGTGAACACATTTAAGTAGATTCCTACATTTATTTCTAAATAAGAGATGTGTAGCTCTTGAAATGTCTTCTTGGGATGTGTTAATTTTGATAGGAAAATGAAAGGTGCTAATTTGTCCCTCTTGCCGTATAATATTAAACAGTTAAATGTGGGCTGATTTTGGAAACAGTGCATGGGAGACACACTTAAAAAAATAATTCAAAAGGTACTGAAAGAATAATCTTTTCCAAATCTGTCAACAAGATTCCATCCACTGTTCCTGGCAAGAAATCTAGCTTAATTTGGTAAAACAATCACTTTTGCTCTCCCAAACATTGTAAAACAAGTGGGGTCATGGAAAGAAAAGTGGGAACATTAAAAAGACCCTTGATAAATACTCAGGTCCGTGCTGCTGTTATCGTGGGGTATTTCCAAGGACCTGCACAGGTTTTAAAAGTACAAGTAAATGAGGAGGGCAGGAGGGAGCTCAGACTGCAAGGGCTGAGGGCTGCAAATTCAATTCACCGCGTGGTTTTGCTGTGAATGCTTTTCCAGCTCTCACACCATTACATAGGATGTAGCATCATAATGATGTCAACTCTTGGACCAAAGAACAAGCTGATTTAAGTTTTATGAGGGGAAGGATGAATACTTTCAAAGGAATGGTGAACCAAATAATACAGAAGTGGTAGGATCACAGTTCAGGGAACTCACAGTTAACGCTTTGAACTATTTTTGGAAAGGTACTGCAAGTTCAGGGATAGCTGGATGGAAAAGGCCTGCACAGCTCGAGCAAAAGCATTGAGAATTTGCTACCAAATTTGCAGGGGGAGAATCAAAAGCTCCCTTCCCTTTCACTGAAGGTGACTGCTGTAGCAAGGCTGCTCTGTGTGTGTTTGAATGAGCATCAGAGGCTGTGCAAAGCCTTCCCTCCCTGGGACAAAGGACAAACACTCACCTTGCATTTGAATCAGCACATAGCCCTCTCTGCTTTCTTCAGGATCCTCCAAGGCTCAGGGTAGCAGGAGGGGCAGGATCCAGGCTGCCTCCATCCCTGCCTTGCTCCCCAGGGTGCTGTGACCTTGTCCTGCCCACCCAAGGAGGTGCTGCATCCACATGGTTTTAGCCCCAGCATTTTCAGTCTATAGGGAAATAAAACCTCCCTGGAATTCAGATACAAGAGAAAGCACAGGTATGGAAGTTTTCAATCAAAGCCACTGCTGTTCCTGCATGAGAGCAGGTCAATAATTCCTTCCCCAAACTCCCTTTGGAAAGTCACTGCAGATGACTTCTGTCAGCTCTTGCTATGTTTTTCCCTCCTTTAAATGCATACTTGAGAATATCCAGTTATTGCAGATCACCAGGAACACACAAGGAATGGGTTGCTTTATAAGCTTTACTACAATTATGGATAATGCTAGAAATGTATACTGTATATTTCCTGTATGGTGGGACTGCTACAAGAACAGAAAATCCACATTGAAGGGGATTTCTATGCAAGCTATGCAGCAGATGAAGATTGTATTGCAAGCTTGAATTACTGATTCAAGCTGCTTCTTTGCCTCTCCCCACCCACTTCTCTAATAGCTTTTAAACTTAAATAGCCATATAAGTTAAAATGTTCTTTTATAGGGTGAAATAAACAGATTTTATGGTTCAGAAACTGCAAGTTTAGAGATCAACACTTTACCACTAATTCATGCAGGTTCAAGCTAAGGAAATGGCTCATTTTCCTCACTACAGTCTGTGAGACTTTTTTTTCCTCAAAAAAAAATCCTAGATGCATTTTAAATTAGATGTTATGAAAACTCTGGGTGCAGACAATGCTTTCTCTTGACAAAGTACATCTAGGTTGCTGCATTCCAGGTCCCAGATCACATGAAATTAGAGGAAAATGACTGCTGAAAACCTCAGATTTGCAGGAAATTGGTACAAAATTTTGGAATTTACTGTACACATTATTGATAGCACCTTAAAGCACACAAATAGAAAACATCCAACAAAATAATAATAATTTTTTAGAAAACACAAGAAAGCTTACATATGCCACTCTGGGAATCTAAAAACTCTCACGATTGCAAATGTAATTTATATTTAAACTTCTTTTTAACTCTCAAAGCGCTGCAAAGAATATTTGTCCCCAGCCCATTCAGTACAATTCTTTCCTGTGGAATAGTAGGAAATACCAGTTCCAGCTGTCCCAGGAAAGCTGAGGAGAAGCAGGACTGACAAGCCCCATACCTTCTACAAGACATTTCCATTACTAGAATTATTCATTGGACTTCATGGGTAACGCTGGCATTCCAGTGAGCCAGGGGAATAACCATGACCCTGAGATGTGAATTCCAGATGCATGCAGAAATAATTGGAGGGTACAAAACCCCAGGAAGATACAGCTTGGAAAGCTTGGTATGATCTGAATGCACAGAAAGTTATTTTCAAACCAAGGAAGAGCAAGAACTGATTCTACTGAGCAGTGGGAGACTCTGCCCTAAATACTCTAAAGATAAATTGTGGTGCCTTGGTCATTTTATCAGAAAAAATTACAGTGATTATGTTTCACTTGTCCATCTATCTGTTTATTCAACCCTCATCACTATGATTTTTGAGTGTCTCATATATCCAGTAACAGCATGGGAGTATTTTTCTTCCCATTTAACAGCTACATTAACCAGCATTTAAGTGGTTAAAATGGAGGTTTTGTTTCCAAGCAAAGATAATCCTGTTCCTGAGGACACCAGTAATGGTGGTATATGACAACATAATCAGCAGCACAAGGATATAAACAACTCCCAATTATCCCAAACCAAAATTTTTGAACATCTTGTTACATTTTTTCCTTAGGCCTTAAAATTACTGAGTTGTTATGGTTGGATGCTTTGTGGTGAATAAATCTAGAATAATTCCCTGGAAAGAGTGAATTGCACCGAAATTCTGTTAGTGCAAAAGACCACAGCACCAAGCTTGCCCTGGCTTTCCCATCCATGGGGAAAAATAACCAGACCATGTTCTCATCGTGTGGGGACAGGAGATAAAGGGGGAGGAGCAGTTGGATGTGATTTCTAGGAAGGGGGAAGCAGCTGCATGGAAAACAGGCAAGAGGGAGAGTGCAATGGGAGCGCCACGCAACAGTGGGATTCCTTCACTTCTGCTTCTGTCAAAGGGCCAAATCCCCTGTGCCTCCAGGTGAGTAACAAAACAAGTATGAGAAAACCCCACTGCACACAAACACAGCCTGAATGGAATTTGAGAGGATCCAGACACAACCTGAATGGAATTTGAGAGGATCCACGGGCGCCGTTTCCCACACGGGGTGCCCGGAGCACCCGTTGTGTCCCAGAGCTCTCACACAGATAGGAACACGAGATTCTGTGCTAGAAACAGAGATGTCACAGAACAAGGCATCCAGATCTGAAGGCAGATCAAAGTAACCACACTGGGAGCCAAATCCAAGCTTGGGCTTTGAATATACCTCCAAAACATGGATGTTTTTGGAGCTAGAGTTTGGGTTCTGTCATCCATCTAATCTTGAAATGGGTGGATCAAAGATGTTCAGTCTGAGGCTTAGCAAAGTGCTAACAGATACTTTTGAATAGAAATAGTTCAGTGAAATGCTCCAAGCAAGAAATAAATTTGTTGGTGGGCAAGTCATGAAGTGAAGAAGTGAAACTGGCTGAGGAAATTGCTGGGTACCTATTGATTGCTTTGATATGTTACCTTGTGAGGTTGGATTTATGCGCAACAGGAGTGAAGGAGAGGCACAACGTGGTTGAGGAATTGGACCACAAAGTTGGTAGCAATGCCAGAAAAGACTGGAAATTAAGAAGGATGCCCAGTGGTTTGAGTGCTGGCTTGGAAACCAGCAGCAATCATATGTTTGGTTCTCCATCCCAAATTTCCTGTATGACCTTGGCCAAGTCATCTAGTGCTTCAGCTTCCAACCACTCAAATGGAGGTCGTAAACCTTGTTAAAAAATAAGAAAACTTGTGGGGATGAAGGACCATCTCTCACCCACTGCATCCTCACAGCTTAAAGGTGGCTTGATATAATTGAACAAAGGAGACTGGATGGCTTGCTGAGTTATTCCAAATAAAAACACAGATAGAAAATTATAGAAAAGAAGTGCCTGCAGAACACTTCAAGCTGTAGAGACAAGCCTGGTTATAGACCTTCCAACATTTCCATGCTCTAAGGAAGCCACACTCCTGCTCAAGCTATAGGAAAAACACACAAAGCATTGCACAGCTCTGGCTGGCACTGGCATTTTCTCTGTGGATGGCACAAGTGCTAACCTTATTTTCTACAATGTTTATGCCAATGGAAAGTGGAAATAACTGTAGGAATGAATCCTGACATACATATGTGAGACATCTGGCCACATCAACACTATCATTTATTCCAGAGCATGCATTTTCCTGGCCACCATTTTTCAGCCTACCTTAGTCAACTGCAATAACATTTTTGGCCAGTACAAATTTTTGACCTGATGTCTGTGTAGATCTGAAAGGAATTTCCCTTTCAACACACATGATCTTCCATTAAGCAAAGCCAGTTCCATGATTCCTGGAAGAATTAAGAGGTACAAATACCCTGTAACTCTGGATCCTTGCAGTTAATGCTTTGGTCTCCTTTTAAGGGACAAGAAGTTAATTCTTTCACACCTAGTTCTGGTGGGTCATTTAGGGACAGTCTTATCACTCCATGAGTAAAGAAAGGTACTTTCCTAAATAATTCAAAATCTCAGATGCTGTTTATTCTTCTGCTCTAACTGACCAAGTGCTATGCAAATTTTAGAGTACAAAATATGCATTCAGGCTTGCAAATGGAATTACATCCTAGATGGGCTGCTGTGTTCTGGAGAAAACAAAGGATAAGAATTTACCAATCATTGAGAGTTTTCTCCTGCTGTTACACACATTCACTTCATCAATAGTGACAATCAGAGAGGACCAAGAATTTCTGCTACTGTATCATCCCAGCTTGGCCTATAGCACTTGCTAGAGAAGGATTTTTCTTGAGGAATAGATGTCAAGGGAACAACACCCTTGGGCAACTGTTAGTATAGAGTATAGAAAAGAAACAACCACTTAAATACCTGCAAAATTAGAAGTTGAATTTCTACTGAAAGCCAAGTGAATGTTTGCATGAACGGTCAATCTTGATAAATATATTTGGGCAATAAAAACAATGAAAATAACCAAATCAATCAGTAAAATCAGAGCAATGGCAATAATCAGCAGAGACATTAAAAAAAACAAACCTGAGCTTACAACAAAATATAGATTTAAAAAGAATTAGAAGTTGAAGCTTTTCCTCCTCTTAAGTATTCCTTTGAGTTGTGATTTTCAAACTTCCATTCAGCTGCTGCTTAAGCCTGATAGCTCTGAAACTCCTGGCTGCCTGGTACTCCTGTGTTAAAAGTCCCCAGAAGCCTGCATGGTGCTTCACTTACAGTACAGAACTGCTCTGCTTGGAGGGGGCAAAGCTGTTGCCTTCCTGCTGGAAATTTTAAGGCAAATTGTGGAAAACAAGGGTTTTCCAAACCTCGCTCACTCATTGTTTTATACTTTCCATTTTGGGAATGCAGCTCCCATTGACCCTTATAATTGGGAGAAAATATTCAGGTCTAAAACTTGCTATTTCCTGTCTCCTGCTGGAAGGTTATTCAGCAAAGACATCCAGTTCCATCCATCTATCTCGTGTGAGGATGAGGCATTTTCCTTTTCCAAGCAATGTCCAGCTACAAACCACAGAAACCTCTTTAGCCACAGAGACATAAAGATGCAGCAGAGAACATTCTCACAAATTATATGCATCTTTATGCAGAAGCAAAGCCAAAGTTAGCTGCTTCCCCTGTAGTGTAAAAATTCCTGTACACATTATACACCTTATTAATTCTAGACCAGTGAACTTTCCTCCTAGTTTATAATGAAGTGTTACATTATTAGTCAGGCTTCCCAGCAACTTTTGATAAAAATGGTGTTTTTATTGCTGTATAAAAAATACAAGGCAAGTTAAATGTTCAGTATTTTCTTATAAAATATTTAAGTTTATAAACTGTTGCAAACAGGCTGGTGTTTATATAATATTCACAGACATCTGTAATGCCTCTCATGAAAGCTAATGTGCAAGCTCTTAGCTACTGCAAAAGGGCTT